GACATCATTACAGATCCTATAGATAGTAAAAGGAAAGAAATATTACAAATAATTTTTGCCCATAAATTAGACAACTTAAATGAAACAATTCTTTAAAAGGCATAGACACTCAAAGCTTCTTCAAGAAGAAACACACAACCAAAAAAGATCCAATTAAGTTACCTTATTATATGTTTGATTTGTAGTAAGATACTACTTTCTAGGGTAATGTTCAAAGCACTTGTTAGGTACTGATTAAATTCCTCGAAGAACATTTCATTCCCTTCTTCATACTTCCCATAGTTCTTTGAGAACTCCTTTTGAATGCAGTGATTGGTCAAATGGCAGGTTTTGTCTTGGAAATTATCAACATGATATGGTTCTGAAGCAGTCCGAAGCACACCCTCTTTATAGAGGTAGATATTATACTGATGATCCACCAAGACCCAGCTTCTGCAAATCAATAAAAACACTGCTTTATGCAAGCGATCCAAAGCTTCTACATATTATAGAATATATAGATCAACCCCCCCAACCTGACTTCTTTTGGAATATGAAGGAGTTTGGGTGGGGGAATAGGGGATGGAGGTAGGTTCTAAAATTGTATGAGGCAAACCATGATTTAGCTGAGATAGTGGGTTATCACTATAATGAGGCAAACAAAACATTTCACCATAAATGACAAGGAGTCTTTAATCCATTCAAAAGATGGAGCATTTTGAAGAGATTTAGATGGGTTGGTTTTTATGGTTAACCTGTAAAACCTGTTTGCCATGTTTGCTCTTTCAGTAATCTTAAGAGGAAGAGTATTCATGCTGAAGCTGATCTGACCTAGGACTGATGTTCAAGAAGCAGCAAGTTATCATGAAGGAATGAAGGAGACAGAGTCCAAGATGAGGAGATGACAGCAAGGCCAGGGATGAGCTGGGCACAGAGGGTTGTTCTGCTTTAGAAAGCAGCACACAACCTCTTTCTCCATGCCAGGCCCTTTGCTCAGAAACTTGAAATCCAAAAGCCTGAGGTGTGTTCATGAAATCCATAAAGAGTGGGATACAAATAATGAAGTGAGGACAAATTGTTTGGCAGGGTCGCACAATCTGTTATGTCTGAAGTATGTGCTCTATGTACGTCTCTCAGCTTATTCCATAAGCAAGCCCCACACTTTTATACTCTTCTCTTTGGATCCATAAGTCATTTTCATAACAGAGAATATTAAAAAAAAAAGTAAATCCATAACCTTAGTCACATTTTCTAGACAGAAAAAAGAAATGTTGAAAGAAAAATAGAAAGTTAGGTACAGAAGCTCAGTTCTAGTCAGTTGTACTCAATTTTGGTAACATATTAAACACAGTCAAATACTTCTTCATATTCCACGTCCCCCTCCTCACCATACATGACTGCATTTTTTTTCAGATGAATAAAACCAAAAACTATGGATGTTGATGCATTACCGAATGTCAAACTTGCGATGACCCGGTTCCAGAAGCAGAGGGTGCTCAAGATATTTCTGGATCACGTGCACTTGGCCCTGGTTGTCTATGAAATCGAGAAGCTCTGAGGCCTCCGAGGAGATGAGAATGCCTTCACCTAACAGGGCAAAAGCAAAACAGAAACTAGTCCAATTGAAACCAAGAGGAAAAGCTCTCTACAAAGCCAGAAAGGAAATACAGCTAAAAACCCACAGGAGCCTTTTATTGGCCTGCTCACTCTTTTCTTTCTCCCCTCCACCCTCCTCCAATCTCTCACATTCTCTGCTCTCCCACAAGAGCACCAGGGTTATCTAACTCTTTTCCCATATAGGATTGTCAACTCTATCTTGACAGGCTACAACCATGAAATTTCAGTTTTACAGATATTCCAAGTGTCTAAGCATTCTAAATAAATCCCACTCTACTATTGGTCACTGGCTACCACAATAAAGACTGTGTACTGCCTTAACCAATAAATCACTTCTAACACTAAAACTTCTAGAAATACCAAGAAGGTCATAAAGACACATGTACAAATATGTTCCCTGCAGCATTATAACAGACAAAACTGGATACATTCAAACTGTCCATTAGCATTAAATAAATGATATACATCCTTTTTAACAGTATAATTGAGATATAACTTAAATACTATAAAATTCACCCTTTTAAAGTGTACAATTCAATGGGTTTTAGTAATTCAAGAGTTTTGCAAGTATCACTACAGTCTAATTTTAGAACATTTTCATTGCTAATGGGCACAGGGTTTTTTGGGGGAGGCAGTTATTCCCCATTCTGTTCTCACCCCAGCCCCTGACAACCACTAATCTCTGTCTCTATCTCTGTCTCTGTCTCTATCTATGGATTTATTTCTTTGGGGTATTTCATATAAATGGAATCATATAGTATGTGGCCTTTCATGTCTGGCTAATTTCACTTAACACAAAGTTTTCAAGGTTCATCCATGTTGCATCATATATCAGTACTTCACTCCTTTCTAAGGCTGAAGAGTACTCCACTGTGTGGATATACCATATTTTGCTCATTCATTCTTAATTGATGGACATTTGGATTGTTTCTATTGTTGCTTGGCTCTTATGAAATAATGCTGCTATAAGATTTGATACAAGTTTTTGTGGATATATATTTTCAGTTCTCTTGAGAATATACCTAGAAATCCAATAGCTGAATCATATGGTAACTCTACGTTTAACTTTTTGAGAACTACCAAATCAGATTCCAAGGTAGCTGCACCATTTTACACTCCTACCAGCAATGTTTGAGAGTTCCAATTTATTCCCATCCTCACAACATTTATCATCAGTCTTCTTAATTACAGCCATCCTGGTGGGTATGAAGTGGTATCTCATGTGGTTTCAATTTTCATTTCTCTAATGACTAATAATGTTGAACACATTTTCGTGTGCTTATTGGCTATGTATTGATATTATCTTCTTTGGAGAAATGTCTACTCAGACTCCTTGTTTATTTCTTGATTGGCTTATTTGTGTTTTTATTATTGAGTTATGAGTTTTTAATACATTCTTGAGACAGGCCCCTTATCGGATCTATGATTTGCAAATATCTTCTCCCACTGTGAACAGTTCCATTATTGCACGGATCCCTTATGTTGCCCTTTTAAAGCCACACTCAAATCCCTCCCTATCCTACCCCCATCCCTGATAACCACTAATCTGCTTCCCATTTCTGTAATTTTGTCATTTCGGAAATGTTATATAAATAGAATTATACAGTATGTGATCTTTTGGGATTGGCTTTTTCCACTCAGCATAATCCCCTGAGATTCATCTAAGTAAGTTGTTCTATCAATAGTTCACTGCTTTTTATTGCTAAGTATTAATAGTATTCCATGGTATCAATTCACCACAGTTTGTTTAATCATTTACTCATTGAAGGACATTTGAGTTGTTTTCAGTTTGAGGCTATTAAAAATAAAGCTGCTATGTACAGGTTTTTGTGTGGACATAAGTTTTCATCTCTCCGGGACAAAAGCCCAAGAGTGTGCAATTGCTGCGTTGTATGGTAATTACAAGCTTAGTTTTACAAAATATCGCCAAACTTTTTTTCAGAGTGGCTGTACCATTTTACGTTCCCACTAGCAATGTACAAGTGATCCAGTTCCTCCAGACCCTTGCCAGCATTTGCTGTTGTTGCCATTTCTTATTTTAGCCATTTTAATAAAAGTGCAGTGACAGCTTGTTGTGGTTTCAATTTGCATTTCCCTAATAGTGAATGATATGGAAAATCTTTTCATTTGCTTATTTTCCATCTGTATAGCCTCTTCAATAAAATGTTTTCATGTCTTTTTCCCATTTTCTAATAGGATTGTGTGTTTGTTGTTATTTACTGTTATGCTTCAAAAGTTGTTTATATATTCTAGATCTGAGTCCTTTGTCATACAAATGGCTTAAAAATCTTTTCTCCCATTCCGAAGTGTATCTTTTCATCCTCTTAAGGGGTGTTTCACAAAGCAAAAGTTTTACTTTGATGAGGTTTGATTTATCAATTTTTACTTTTATGGATTATACCTTTGGTGTTAAGCTTAAGAACTCTTTGCCAAGCTCTATCTCCTATTTTCTTCCAAAAAATTTTATAGTTTTACATTTAAGTCCACAATCCACTTTGAGTTAGTTTTTGTATATAAGATATGAGGTTTATGTTGATGTTCATTTTTTGTCTGTGGATATCTACCTTATTCAGCAGCATTTGTGGAAATGTTTATCCTTCTATTGAATGGATTTTGTGCCTTTGTCAAAAATCAGGTGGGCATATATGTTTGAGTCTATTCTGTTCCATTGATTTATGTTTCCATCCCTCCACCAATACTAGAGTGCACTGAGTGCTGTATAGCAAATGCTAGAAAGGGTCTGGAGGAACTGGATCACTCACACATTGCTAGTGGGATTGTAAAATGGTACAGCCACTCTGGAAAAAAGTTTGGCAATGTTTTATAAAACTAAACATATATAGTACTGTATAGTATGCCTAATGTCAGGTAGAGTGATTAATTCTCCCTTATTCTTCTTTTTCAAGATCGTTTAAGCTATTTAGAGCCTGTGCCTTTTCATATGAATTTTAGAAGTAGCTTTATCTCTATACAAAAACCTTGCTGATATCGTGATAGGAATTACATTAAACCTATAGACCAGTTTGGAGCAAAATGACATCTTTTCTTTACTATGTTGAGTACTGCAATCCATGAATACATGTCTGTCCTTTTCTTTAGGTCCTCTTTGACTTCTTCCATAATTATTTTGTAATTTTCAGCATACAGAGCCTATATATGGTTTGTTAAGTTAATATCTAAGCATTTAATTTTCTCTGGGGTGATTGTAAGTGATACTGTTTTTTACTTTGGTTTCCACATGTTCGTTGTTGGTATATAAAAATGCAATTGTTTCTTTGTGTGTGTTGATCTCACATCCTTTAACACTGCTGAACTTACTTTTTAGTTCTAGGACTTTCTCACCTATGCTTTAGATTTTCAGATTTATAGCTTCCCTCCACTTAGGTCTCATGCTTTCAGTACAAGGGAATTCAACTCGGTTCATTAATTCAGTGAAGCATCTTTCCTAAAAGTCAACCCCCTTCTCAACTACCCCGTTTCTGTCACTTGTTCCACCATCTGGTTAGCCTCTTGAACAAGAAACCACAAATCTACTTGGAAAAGCTCGCTTCTCCTCTTTCCCTACACACATGACTCATTCTGCTTCTTCTCCCTTAGGAACCACACTCAGATATTCTGGTTCCTCTTTATTTTCACTTGCCAATTCTCAAGTTCAGACTTTAATCTCTCCTCCCCTATAGCACTTTTCAAACTACTTTTAGAATAATCATCCTAAAACACCACTTTCCTACTAATGTCTTGAAACTATCCCTATCACCTACTGACGCCTTGCTCTACATAATCTAAGTCCATTGCCTTCCGTATGTTCTAACCTTATTTTCCTTATGCTATTTCCTTATGTAAACTATTTCTTAGTGAAAATGCATATACCTAATGTTAATAGGTTGGAAAAATAATGGGAAAATAAGGCAGCTACATTTTTATAACTTAAAAAAACTATTGTCATTTAAAAACATGGCATTAAAGGGAAATGGAAATGTTACCCACAGACTTATTTCCCGACATAATAATTATCTTTATTTTTTTTATATTACCTTTCTTTATATACAGGCAAAGCCTGGGTCAATCATAGTGAACTCATCTCATATTCTTTTTTTCACTTTTTATTGTCAATATTTTCACTGCTTCTACATTAACTTCACAATTATGTTAATGCCTGAAAAATATCTCATTGTGTGGATATAAATTAATTATATATTTGTTTACTGACTACTGGACAATGGGATTGTTTCTAAATAATATTTTGCTATTGTAGATAACATAGTAGTAAATGTCTTTGCTATAGATCACTCTTGTCTCTTTTAAAAATGTTTCTTTGGGGGGGAGGGGTGAGGAGGGGATGGGTTTATGCATACACAAGAGTGCGGTGCGCACCGTCCGGGGGATGGAACGCTTGAAGCTCAGACTTGGGGGGAGGCAGGGGAAACATACGTAACCTGAACATCTGTACCCCCATAATATGCTGAAATAAAAATATATATATATTTCTTTGGCGTAAGTTTTCAGGAACGAGATTACCGGACCAAACGATATGCATCCTTTATGGCTCTTGCTCTGTGTTATCCTATTGCTTTTTCAAAGGGCTGTAAACTGTCACTGACAAAGAGAAGTCCACAACAAACTTTCAGCAACAGTAACACTAAAAGTTTTTGCTCTCTTATTTTGTAGGTGTAAAATGATACATAAAATTCAAATTTATTTTGCAAGTTTTGGATACTGGTGTTGCATGTTGCCATGGGTTTCTTAACTGTATTTCTTACATTACTTATTTGTTCATATCCTAACTAAATATAAAGAAATTAGGAAGGAACATTTGGGATCTTTAAGGAGCTTCAAGGTCAGTCTTTTTTTTCTGTGTTACCATCTCACCTTTTAAGTAATCTGGAAATAGATGCAAAATTAGCCTTCTTTCTGACTAGACTGTGGGTCCATGAAGGCAATAGATCATGTCTGTCTTATTTATTCCTGTATCTCCAAACACTCATTACTTCACGCATTCATTCACTTAGTACATATACTGAACCTTTGCTGGGTGCCAGGTACTGTCCTGGTGGGGGAGACAGTGCTAAGCACAGACGTGACATGGTCTGACTACTTTAGTAGACTCATTGTCAGCTGTATTGTGCGTAGATTCTGGAGAATGGCCAAGAACAGGAGGACAGGGAGCAATGCTCCAGGTGGGAGGTGAAGGTGGCTGAGATCAGAGTTGGGTGATGGACATGGTGAACAGTGATTTGATACTGGATATAGCCGGAAGGTTGAGCCAATTATACCAAACATGTATGATAGTAGGTACTAAGTAAATATTTGTTTAACAAGAATAAAAGCTATTAATCCTATTGGCTGAATAGGACAAAACAAATATACAGCACTTATTTCCTCAACTCCTAAAGCAAAAATTCTTTTATTTTACCATTTTTTTTTTGAGACAGGATCTCACTCTGTCACCCAGGCTATAGTGCATGGCATCATCATAGTTCACAGCAACCTCAAACTCCTGGGCTCAAGTGATCCTCCTGCCTCATTCTCCCAAGTAGCTGGAACTACAGGTGCACACCGCAACACCCAGTTAATTTTTCTATTTTTTGTAGACACGGGGTCTCGCTCTGGCTCTGGCTGGTGTCAAACTCTTGGCCTCAAGCAATCCTTCCACCTTGGCCTCCCAGAGGGCTCGGATTACAAGTGTGAGCCACCGCACCCAGCCCTAAAGCAAAAATTCTTTGTTTAGCATTTATTCTCTTTATTCTCTCTCCCCTGCTGCTCGGTGTCCCTTTAAGTCTTGCCTTGGTGAGGGTCCAACGACTACCCAGGTGTCCTCACAATGGCCTTTCTGACTCTAAGCCCAAATCCACAGGAGGAATCTGGAATACCATGAATGTCTATCTCCTCTTCCAATTCTTCCATTTACCAATACAACCAAACTAGGGGACAGTACTTGAGAAGAGGTCACAAGAGGGGAGAAAGATGTAGGTGAGGTACCTGGCTTGTGGCAAGAGTCCAACTCTCCCACTTTCAGGAGATTCCAGGTGATGCCCTCCTGTCTCATGGTTGGTGGAAAAGAAGGTGAGGTCCACTGGACCAGGAATAGTACCAATGGCCACATGGTCTTTCCACGCAATAAAAGAAGTAAATTTAAAATGGAATAGTTTTTAAAGGAACATATGATGATAGTCATAGAGAGAGACTGTTTATGTGCTCACTACGTTGCCTCTACTTTAAGCCTGTGTTAATATTATAAACCTCACTTCTTCAATGCATTCATTCAACCCACATTTATTGTTTAAGGAGGGTCCGAGGACGAACAAGACAGAAAGTCTGTGTTTGTGTGGAGAGATGGATGGATAAACAAGTAACAGAGTGCTAAGAAGAGGTTCCTAGAAGAAGAAAAGTAAAGTAAGGGAGAGGGGAAGAAAGCAATGGGCAGAGAGGTTCCTTCAGATTGGAAAAGCCTTCTCTGACAAGGCAACAACTGAGATGAGAGAACCAGAAGGTAATCCATGGTAAGCACATTCCAGGTACAGAGACAAATTTAGAGTATTTGAGGGACAAGAGGCAGTCTTTGTGGCTACAGCACAGTGAAGAAGGCTGAGAATAGAAGAAGATGAGATCAGAGATATGGGCAAATGTCAAATGGTACAGGCTACCCTGCAGAATCTGGAGTTTATTTTAACTGCATTAGGAGGCCAGCTGGTAAGTCTTGGGCAGGGAGTAACATGATTAGATTTATTTTTTTTAAAACATCACTCTGTCTGGGAGGAGGAGGAGGACTAGCCGTGGGCAGGCTCTGCAATTACACAGACTAGAGAGAATGGGGGCTTTGATTGAGGGTGGAAATTTCAAGAAAAAGTCCAGTTCAGAATGTGTTTTGAAGATAGAGCTAGCAAGACCTGCTAATGTGTTAGGTGGAGACTATAAAGAAAAATGCAGTCAAGGATGCAGCCTAGGTTTGGGGGCCTCAAAGCCTGGGTGAATAGTGGGATCATAAACTAAGTGGGAAGCCTAAACGAGGAGCAGGCAGGGCTGGGCAAAGTTGGGAAGGAAATAAAGAGTTCTGTATCAGACATGGTCAGTTTAAATGGCTTTTAGAGATGAGGAGGGTGTCAATGGATCTAGAGCTAAAGGGAAAGATCTAGACAGGAGATGTTTATCACTATATAGGGGGTTATTTAAAACTATGTAACTAGATGTGGTCTCTACCCTTGATGATTCAGATTTGAATAGAGTCATTCGTCTAAATTCATCATTAAAATCTGACATACCATTGAACAAAGCATGACAGAAACCTACAGGGAATAGAGAAGGGGACAGCAATGCCAACTCACCTTTGGCACCAGCTGATGACTTTGCAATCCAGACGTTGCCCTCTCCATCCTCTTTCTTTCTGTTATAAGAAGCCAGGAAGAATTCTCTTTCATCTGTCCTTGAGTTATGGATTGGTGGCTGGATTCCATTCTGCGCTGGAGCAACTGGAGTCTTGAGATTAGTTGGATAAATCACATAAGACTCAGGGAACCATGTGCAGCACTCAGCCAGTTCTGGGCTTGTCTTGATTAGCCTGGCAGATGACAGAAGAAGGTCAGTGTCCCTTCTTATTGCACTCTGTCACTCTCTTCAGAAAGGCCACTGCTTTCCCCAGAGCCTTTCAGGGAGGCAAGGTATTACTCAGTTTCCTTCTCACCCCTCTATTTGCTGTTCGCCACCCTGGACAGACTTCTATCAGGCAGCACACAGCTGTTAGATGCAACTTTAAAGGCGTGTGCCAGTTAATTCAAATGGCTTAATGCTCAGAACTTTAGCTCTTTTTTTAAATGCATCTCTACGGAAACTTGACATAATCCTGAGCCAATACCTTTTCAACAAGCATGTTGTGGGTGAGCCAGACCCACACTAAAAAATGCAGTGAGGAATGGAGGAAAATTTAATTAGTGAAAATACTATCTTGGCTCAACTCTCTGGGGAAGAAAAGCTACTTAGGAATATGAATTATCTAAAGACTTTTTTTTAGTCCATTTCTTGCTTTTAGCTCAGCCTAGATTTAGTGACAGAATAAAGAAGGAATCTTTCTAATGGGACATTGGACACCAGTGGTCATAATAAAACATACCTCCTGCTCCCAAAATAACATAACAGCACAGAGGATAAAGTCAGGGCCTGGGCAAGGCACTTAACAAATACAAGGGTTTATCAAAGACTCCCCACTGTACCTAATCAAACCTCTGGAGCCAGCAGTGCTAGAATCACATTTCACAAAATAGGAACTGGGTCACAGAAAAGCAAACTTCCCAAGATCATAAAGGGAGTAAGCACCAGCCAGGACACAAGCCCCAAACTCCCAGATCTTTTTTTTTTTTAGACAGAGTCTCACTCTGTCGCCCAGGCTAGAGTGCCATGGCATCAGCCTAGCTCACAGCAACCTCAAACTACTGGGATCAAGCGATCCTACTGCCTCAGCCTCCCAAGTAGCTGGGACTACAGGCTTGCGCCACCATGCCCGGTTAATTTTTTCTATATATTTTTAGTTGTCCAGCTAATTTCTTTCTATTTTTAGTACAGACAGGGTCTCACTCTTTCTGAGGCTGGTCTCAAACTCCTGAGCTTAAGGGATCCTCCCACCTCAGCCTCTCAGAGTGCTAGGATTACAGGCATGAGCCACCATGCCAGGCCATCCAAACTCCCAAGTCTTAACTCTAAACCTACCCTTATTCCCCAGGAGTCAGAGCCAGGGAGGAACATACCAAGGACATATGAGGCCTTCCCCAAGCTGTGCTCCCTCTTCTGTCTAGAACAGAACCGTTAATGTTAAGCCTACATTAAGATTCACCTATAAACCCTACTCAGTGAGCAAATGGCAGAAATAATGAAAAGAAATTTTAGATTGAGATTACAAATAAAGTCATTTTAAAGTGAAAGGCAAAGAAATTGAAAGTTATTTGAACTCAAAGGAGTAAAAAAAACAAATAAAAGCAAATAAATTTCTAATCCTTTTCATGTTCAACTCTATATCCGCATTGGCCCATATGGTAGCCACTAGTCATGTGTGGCTACTGAGCATTTGAAATGTGG